AAGTTAGATGATGCACTCTGGGCCTACAGGACAGCTTTCAAGACACCAATTGGTATGTCACCAAAGAAGTTAGTGTTTGGGAAGGCCTGTCACCTACCTGTAGAACTTGAGCATAGAGCGTGGTGGGTACTGAAACAACTAAATTTAGACATGGAAGCTGCGGGCACGTCAAGAGTCACAGAACTGCATGAGCTTGAGGAGTTCTGGTATCTTGCTTTTGAGAGCACAAGGCTGTACAAAGAGAGAATGAAGAGGCTACACGATCAGAACATCGTTGAGCAGAACTTCAAACCTGGGAACATGGTATTGCTATACAACTCAAGACTGAGGTTGTTCCCAGGTAAGCTGAAGTCACGATGGTCTGGACCATTTCATGTAGTTGAATTTTTCCCGTCAGGAGCGGTTGAAGTTGCCACTGAGAATGACTCTCGTACATTTAGAGTCAATGGTCATAGATTGAAGTTGTATGTGGGTATGAGCGAGCCTAAGGAAGGGGCTGAACTGCATCTGACTGAACCACAGAGGTCGAGCGAGCCTTAAATGCACTCTTCTTGCGTCGTACAGCGACGTTAAATCAGGCGCTACGTGGGAGGCAACCCGCGAAATTGTTGTAAGTGTAACATAAAAAAAAACAACAAAAAAAAAAACGTCAGAATCAGAGACGCGGTCAGACCGCGGTTCCATCGTGACCGCGGTCAAACCGCGGTACTGACCCTTCTTTGAACCCAGGCCATCGCGGTAAAACCGCGGCCAGGGAGACCTTCTGAACTTGGTCTACCGCGGTCCTATCGCGGCAGATGCAGACGGGGTCCAGGTAAGTTTTTTCGTTTTAATTTTTTTTCTTTTCACCTTTTACCCAAAATACCCCCACCTACCACTAACCCCCAAATTCGCCCAGATTCAGCAAAACACCCCCACTCCCTTCTCTCTAATTTCTCTCCCACTTCTCTCTATCTTCTCTCTTCTCTTTTCATCTTCACATCACTCCATTATCATCCTCCCCTACTATCCACCTTCTTCATCCACTTTCCCT